TGAACTAATGAGTTATATGATCTATCAGTTAGAAAAGGAGAAAATTGTTAAAAATGTAGTACCTGAAATTTAAGGAAGTATGTAACTCCATTTGCCTCCTAGTTTCACTTGGTGTTTGGAAGGTGCTATAATAATAAAGTAGGAACAAATGTTCAGTAAGTGGCTATCAATAATTAAAGAAATTTCAATTATGATCCCCGTGGGCACAAGCAAAGGATACTAAGCTGTGATCCCCAAACTGCATTACCTTCAGGAGCATATTGGAGTCTGGCCGTCCATGATATGTTCATGTACATGCATCATCTGTGCTTTGCTGATAAATTTTAATAGAGTATCAAATGCTCTTTTTCTTACTAAAGCCTTTTAGCCTTTCATGATTAGGATATGGCATAAGCAATTTTGCATTAGAGAAAACCTATGTGCTATTCAAACTGATCTCTTACAGAACATATTTGTTACACTTGCTTTAGATAGGAGGAGGATCCTAGTCAAGTAGCCAATGCAAAAGCATTTTTGTATTATAATGCTAACATAGCAAGTAACAAGGCATGTATCAGCGAAAGGGCCTCTAACTGAGTTGGTTGGGTGGTCTGAGTAGCACTCCTCGGATCCCGAGTTTGACTCCTGTTGGGCCAATTTCAGGCTAGGGTTAAAAAAATCCCCTAGTCTGCCCCAGCCAAAGCAAGCAGGTCTAAGGGCCGCCCCTGTCGTGGTCGTTCTCACATGGGCTACGGTGCTGCTGTGTATGGGTGGGATAGGGGTTCGGAGGTTTTCTAGACCTGCGTGAAAAGGTCTTCTTAATGCAATACATGGGGACTGTCTTACGCCCCCACCCCCCAGCAGGTCGAGTCTTTTTTTTACAAGGCATGTATCAGGTTTCTACATCTTGTCATAAAGACACTTTGATCCTGAATTGCCAACGCCTTTGTTATTTCACAATCTCGAAAAATCGAACTCCATTTTCTTTTGCCAACCATATGCTCATAATCTTGGTTTATCATGTTTCCCATGCCAGTGTTTTTGAAGTGGAGCTCTATGTCTGCAGGTTTGCTCTTATGGTTGTGGATAGTGCTACAGCCCTATACAGAACTGATTTCTCTGGTAGAGGGGAGCTATCAGCAAGGCAGATGCATCTGGCTAAGTTTCTTAGGAGCCTTCAGAAGTTAGCAGATGAAGTAATCAGCTTGTCCTTTGATCACTCATGAATTATGAAATGTTAGATATATTGCAATACATACATTTGGTCGTCGCGCAAACATTATTGCTACCAAATTACCGGACAACTATTGATTCTGCTGCAAGCTGTTTGATTAGTTAACCAAGTGTAGCAACAACATGTTGAGTCTCATGCCTATTTGGTGCACATAGTATTTTTATTGTTTTTGGTCCTTTTTTGGCTGTCTCTAGTTTGGAGTGGCAGTGGTAATCACGAACCACTTAGTGGCTCAAGTGGATGGTGCTGCAATGTTTGCTGGGCCACAGATCAAGCGCATTGGAGGAAACATCATGGCTCATGCTTCCACAACTAGGTGAGCTACACCAAGTAACATAACATCTCCATTTTATTTTTGTTCAGTTACTCATTGTCTCAAGTGTGTCGCGTTTTGTATCAGGCTCTTTCTTCGCAAGGGAAGAGGGGAGGAGCGGATCTGCAAAGTAGTCAGCTCTCCCTGTCTGGCTGAAGCTGAAGCAAGGTTTCAAATATAATCTGAGGGTGTCACTGATGTCAAGGATTGAAAGCATCTCTGCATTTGCAGCCCACAGCATAACTTGCCCACTCGAACGAATCTCTGGTCTGCTGGATTCATGTTGGTCCCTTGTACAATCTAAATGCCAGTACAGGCTTTCAGAATGGGAATGCAAATCCGTTGGACTGGCATTGTCATCCTGTTGTCTCAGGTACCATCCAAAGTTGTCCTTGTTGTGAAGTGCATATCCTTAGTGTGTCCAAATGATATATGTACAGATAACCAGCCACAATTTAGCAACTTTTCATGCTGCATGCATCCATGTTCTTTTTCAATGTACTTACTTGCCTTGATGCCAATTAGTTGATTTTGTTTTGTTGTACTGATCTGAACCAGAGATCACAAACAGTTGACTACCAACATTTGGCTTGTTCGGTTCTTAACATGTAAATTAAGTTTTCAGAATACATAGAAGTATATGGTCATTTTTAAGGTACTGTTTAACTGTCCGCAATTAGCAAAAGTATTATCTCCTTACATAGAGCTGTTGGCATTGATCATCAGAGTCCCAGTTCTATGGAGTAATTCTGTAATTCAACAGTTATCATCCTACCATGCATTACCATTCGTGCTACATTTATTGAAACTCTGCAGCTACAATGTAAAACTACAATGGTGAAAAATAGAGCAAAGTCCGGTTCACCCCCCTGAACTAGTTGCTGAGTTTGAAAGACCACCTCGAATTTCAATACCGGACAACATACACATCTTAAATTTAAAACTGCTCTGGGTGGTTTTTGCTGATGTGGCAGTGGGGCCTGCCAGTCTCTTTCTCTTATATAAAAGACATAACATTTTCATATGAAGTCATATGAATGCAAACTTTATATCAAAGTTGTAGAGCTCGACACGATCTACAACTTTGCAGTTGATAAATTTTTAATTGATGATATTTTAGAGGCTCAAATATTAGTTTTAAGTTACCAGATTTTAATTTTTTTTTTCAAATGACCTCGGATGTTGACATAGTCTATACCAAAATTGTAGTTTCCAGTAAGATCTACAACTTTGTAGTTGATAATTTTTTTACCTAAAATTGTTAGAGGCCGAAATGTTTGTTTTAAGTTCTCTAATTTTGATTTTTTTTTTAATTTTCAAACAACCTACGCTAAAGTTGTAGCTCTCAATATGTTCTACATATTTGTAGTTGATAATATTTTTTTAGAGCTCTACAACATTAGATAAGAGATCAGATCTTCGGTAAGCTTCTAGAATATGGCGAGGACAGACCAATTTGTTTGCATAGTGGTGCTACTGACGACACGAACATCAATGGCAATGATGGAACGAGCTTGGCCGCAGAAGTGTTATGAGCAGCACGGAAGCAAGTCCAGGTGAAACACATGTTTACAGGCTTGGGCTCCAAACGGTGTTGCATTGGCTCACGGTTGGTTAGTTCCATTGTTTCTTGGTTGATGAGCGAATGATGATTCTCCGCTCTAGTTGCCATGTAGACGCGACCAAATTATAATTTCTTCAAGTATGTACATCTGGTAATTTAATTTATCACCGCAGATATATCATTTAGTAACCTCACATGTCAGTTCTTTGGAATCTGAAATAGTGCCAATATTGTTTTGCCTTGCATTGAACTGTTCGGATCTATCAATAGGCCAGATGCACATAGGAATACGAGGTTCTGAAAAATTGATTTCCATGATTTAGTTTTTTAGCATTATAATTTGATATGTTTCGAAGCACATATGCAGGGCATCCAAAGCTGCAATACGATGTTTTGTCACCTCGTATCAAGAATTTCTTAGTCTGTATAGCCTGCTAGTTGTTGAAAATTCTAATGCTAGACTTCTCTTTCCAGAAAAAAGTGACAGTGGGGTGCACTAGCTTGCTTCGCAGAAAGCCTCGAATAGGCTGTTGAACTGGATGTAGTCTGATATCACAACGGGAATGGTGCCGCCAAGTTGTGTGTGTTCACAAACCTGTGACGACAGCTGCCAAGTTGGCTCCACTGGGATTTACTGCTAGTGCGCTAGCCAACTCCAAGCCCAGAGGGTTGAGGGCATCCAAGTTGTAACTGGGTCAAGAGAGGCTTGATCAAATTTTAGAGGCTTGAGATCATCCAAATTATATTCATGCTGTCCACCCTTATTATCTTCAGAGCAGGAGTTCAAGAAACTGAGACTTTTTTTTTCCACTCAGGCCTTGTTTATATGTAGTCGGATTGGTATCAATTCATATGTGTTGGGGTGGATTGGAGTGGAACTTGAACTAAATTACACCTCAATCCACCCCAAACACATGTGGATTGAGATGAATCTGACAACATTCAAACAAGGCCTCAGGAAAGAGTACTAGTGCACTGCAAGCACCTGGGATTTAGCTCCCGATCATCGCGGCGCACCTGCCATACATCATCTTTGTGCAAAGCTTTCATCCATGCAGTATCTCCTTGTTGAGTGTGCGCCTAGCTAGCTTCAAAGCTCAGACTCAAAACTCGTGTGTGTTGCAAGCATCCAAGGATTCAGAGAAAGCGACCAGACTGGCCTCTCGACTTTGCCGTCTCAATCCAAGCACTTGGAGTGATCATAGCAGTAACTTTGTCACAATGTCACTGACGACGAGCATGGAACCACGACTTGGTGCTCCACGATTTTTAACCTCGGGCACCAGAAACTTAAGGCCTCGTTCGGTTGCATGGGAATAATTCCTAGCTGAACAATTCCTTCAGGCCACGTTCGTTTAAAGGGGAATGACTCCATGGAAATACTCCAGGCTGGATTTGTTATCTAATTTGAATAAGCTTCAGTGAACAGGAATTATTCCTGGCCTGGATTCAGCTGAAACGAACGAGCCCTCACTAATTTGTACTAGCGCGGAATGGTTCCTGGCATGGAATGGCCCGTTCCGAGATAATCGAACGGGGCCTAAAGTAGCTAGCTTGAGTACCAACCTGCTGTTTCCCTGACTGACGCATGAGCTCACAAACGATTATACTGGACCCATTGTGAGGGCCACATCCTTTATTCTCTTTTCTTTTATTTACTCAAAGTATACCAATGCAAGCCTACCTTGAAAGAAAAGGGTTATTAGATACCAATGCAAGCCGGGGAGGGGAGACAAAGCATAAAGCAGATTCGCTAATAAAGAAAAGGTTAGTACTACTCGCATTTGTTTGTTCCCATTTCGCTCAAAACAAGTTTTGCAAGCCCATTACTCCTCTTCCACCCAGCAACCGAGTTTCCCAGCACCCTGCCAGCTAGCGCGTGTGTTGTGCTTTGAGTTGTAGGCGCTCCAATGGTTGAGCTGATGGCCACCATGGTGGTCGGGCCACTGGTGTCCATGGTGAAGGACAAGGCCTCCAGCTACCTCCTGGACCAGTACGACGTCATGGAGGGCATGGAGGAGCAGCATGAGACCCTCAAACGCAAGCTGCCGGCCATCCTGGACGTCATCGCCGACGCCGAGGAGCAGGCGGCAGCCCACAGAGAAGGGGCCAAAGCTTGGCTCGAGGCGCTCCGGAGGGTGGCCTACCAAGCGAACGATCCTCTCACAACAAATCAGCATCAGCCGGGAGAAACCAACCAGCGAGCAGGCTCTTTGATGAGTTCAAGTATGAGGCAATCCGCCGTGAAGCCAAGAAGAAGGGACACTACAAGAAGCTTGGGTTTGATGTGATAAAGCTCTTCCCTACTCACAACCGTGTTGTGTTCCGTTACAGGATGGGCAACAAGCTCCGCATGATTCTCAATGCAATTGAAGTCCTCGTTACAGAGATGCATGCCTTTAGATTCAGATTCCAACCACAGCCGCCAATGCCTAAGAGCTGGAGGCACACGGAATCTGACATCATCAACCTTACGGAAATTGCTAGTCAATCAAGACACAAAGACAAGGAGGAGGTTGTTAACAAATTGATTGGTGACCGAGCGAGCAATTTGCAGCTTACGGTCCTTCCCATAGTTGGAATGGGGGGACTGGGCGAGACCACCTTAGCTCAGCTTGTCTACAATGATCCTGAAATTCAAAAGCACTTTCAGCTGCAACTCTGGGTATGTGTCTCTGACAACTTTGAAGTTGATCCCTTGGCTAAAAGTATAGCTGAAGCAAATGCAAAAGGGAAGAACAACATCAATACTAGTGAAAAATCACCGTTGGATAGCCTTAAGGAAGTAGCGAGTGGGAAGAGGTACCTTCTCGTCTTGGATGATGTATGGAACCGTGATGCTAACAAGTGGGGAAAGCTGAAGTCCTGCCTTCAAAATGGTGGCAACGGTAGTGCAGTGCTTACAACAACTTGTGATAATGTTGTTGCTGAATTGATGGGTACAACTGAAGCATATATTCTCAAAAGCCTAGAGCAAAGATTCATAATGAAAATTATAATGGCAAGAGCGTTTAGTTCAAAAAAGGAACAGGACGCTAAGCTTGTTGAGATGGTTGGTGATATTGCCAAGAGATGTGCTGGGTCGCCTTTAGCAGCTACAGCAGTGGGCTCTCTGCTTCGGCCCCGTTCGCTTCGCTGAAAAAACAAGCAAAAACACTGTTCCAGCTGATTTGTCGTGAGAGAAAAACACGGTTCCAGCTGAAAAAAGAAGCCAGAAAGTACGAATTATAAGAGAAGCGAACAGGGCCAAGACCAATGTGGAAGAATGGAGGGCTATATTAAGCAAAAGCACCATCTGCGAAGATGAGACTGGAATTTTACCAATACTCAAGCTCAGCTACAATGGGCTGCCATCGCACATGAGGCAATGCTTTGCTTTCTGTGCTATTTTCCCCAAGGATTATGATATAGATGTGGAAAAGCTAATCCAACTATGGATGGCCAATGGTTTTTTTCCAGAGCAACATGGAGTGCGTCCTGAGATCACTGGTAAACAAATCTTCATCGACCTGGTGTCAAGGTCATTTTTTCAAGATGTGAAGGAAGTCCCATTTGAAGTCCATGACATTTGGGTTCCTAGAGTTACTTGCAAGATTCATGATCTTATGCATGATGTTGCACAGTCTTCTATGGGAGCAGAATGTGCTACCATAGTTACAGAGCAGAGTCAAAGTGAGAAATTTCCAAATTCGGCTCGGCATTTATTTATATCTGTTGATGGACCAGAAACAATTCTGAATGGTTGTCTAGAGAAAGGATCTATGGCTGTGCAAACACTGATATGCAATGGATATGCAGATGGAGATCTGAAGCATTTATTGAAGTACAGATCTATCCGTGCACTAAGGATCCACCGAGGTTCTTTCTTGAAACCAAAGTATCTGCATCACCTGAGGTACCTTGATCTCTCGGATAGTGATATCGTAGTACTTCCTGAAGAAATAAGCATCTTATATAATCTGCAAACACTGAACCTTTCAAACTGCCGCGAACTTAGTCGACTTCCAAAGGAAATGAAGTATATGACTGCCCTCCGTCACCTGTACATTCATGGATGTGGTGGGTTAAAGAGCATGCCCTCAGAGTTGGGACAGCTCACTTCCCTACAGACGCTTACATGTTTTGTAGCAGGTACTGGCTCTGGTTGCAGTAATGTGAGAGATCTTCGTCAGTTAGACCACTAGAGCTAAGGCAGCTAGAGAATGTGACAGAATCAGAAGAAAAGCAGCAGATCTTGGGAACAAGAAAGAGCTTTTTTTTTTTTTTTTTTTTTTTTTTTTTTTTTTTTTTTTTTTTTTTTTTTTTTTTTTTTTTTTTTTTTTTTTTTTTTTTTTTTTTTTTTTTTTTTTTTTTTTTTTTTTTTTTTTTTTTTTTTTTTTTTTTTTTTTTTTTTTTTTTTTTTTTTTTTTTTTTTTTTTTTTTTTTTTTTTTTTTTTTTTTTTTTTTTTTTTTTTTTTTTTTTTTTTTTTTTTTTTTTTTTTTTTTTTTTTTTTTTTTTTTTTTTTTTTTTTTTTTTTTTTTTTTTTTTTTTTTTTTTTTTTTTTTTTTTTTTTTTTTTTTTTTTTTTTTTTTTTTTTTTTTTTTTTTTTTTTTTTTTTTTTTTTTTTTTTTTTTTTTTTTTTTTTTTTTTTTTTTTTTTTTTTTTTTTTTTTTTTTTTTTTTTTTTTTTTTTTTTTTTTTTTTTTTTTTTTTTTTTTTTTTTTTTTTTTTTTTTTTTTTTTTTTTTTTTTTTTTTTTTTTTTTTTTTTTTTTTTTTTTTTTTTTTTTTTTTTTTTTTTTTTTTTTTTTTTTTTTTTTTTTTTTTTTTTTTTTTTTTTTTTTTTTTTTTTTTTTTTTTTTTTTTTTTTTTTTTTTTTTTTTTTTTTTTTTTTTTTTTTTTTTTTTTTTTTTTTTTTTTTTTTTTTTTTTTTTTTTTTTTTTTTTTTTTTTTTTTTTTTTTTTTTTTTTTTTTTTTTTTTTTTTTTTTTTTTTTTTTTTTTTTTTTTTTTTTTTTTTTTTTTTTTTTTTTTTTTTTTTTTTTTTTTTTTTTTTTTTTTTTTTTTTTTTTTTTTTTTTTTTTTTTTTTTTTTTTTTTTTTTTTTTTTTTTTTTTTTTTTTTTTTTTTTTTTTTTTTTTTTTTTTTTTTTTTTTTTTTTTTTTTTTTTTTTTTTTTTTTTTTTTTTTTTTTTTTTTTTTTTTTTTTTTTTTTTTTTTTTTTTTTTTTTTTTTTTTTTTTTTTTTTTTTTTTTTTTTTTTTTTTTTTTTTTTTTTTTTTTTTTTTTTTTTTTTTTTTTTTTTTTTTTTTTTTTTTTTTTTTTTTTTTTTTTTTTTTTTTTTTTTTTTTTTTTTTTTTTTTTTTTTTTTTTTTTTTTTTTTTTTTTTTTTTTTTTTTTTTTTTTTTTTTTTTTTTTTTTTTTTTTTTTTTTTTTTTTTTTTTTTTTTTTTTTTTTTTTTTTTTTTTTTTTTTTTTTTTTTTTTTTTTTTTTTTTTTTTTTTTTTTTTTTTTTTTTTTTTTTTTTTTTTTTTTTTTTTTTTTTTTTTTTTTTTTTTTTTTTTTTTTTTTTTTTTTTTTTTTTTTTTTTTTTTTTTTTTTTTTTTTTTTTTTTTTTTTTTTTTTTTTTTTTTTTTTTTTTTTTTTTTTTTTTTTTTTTTTTTTTTTTTTTTTTTTTTTTTTTTTTTTTTTTTTTTTTTTTTTTTTTTTTTTTTTTTTTTTTTTTTTTTTTTTTTTTTTTTTTTTTTTTTTTTTTTTTTTTTTTTTTTTTTTTTTTTTTTTAACCAGGTTGACATTAACATGGACGTCTTCTCTAGAAAAGGAGGAAGAGGAACAACATAATACTAAAGTGCTGAAGGCCCTCAAGCCTGATGATGGGCTGAAGGTTCTAGATATATATGGCTATAGGGGTGGCACTTATCCGACATGGATAAATACGTTGCAACAAATGGTGAAGCTTACACTATCGGGTTGCAAGAATCTCAAGGAGCTTCCTCCACTGTGGCAGTTACAGAGCTCTACAGGTTCTCAACTTGTGGGGATTGGAAAGTCTTAGTTCCCTGTGCAGTGGTGATGCACCCGTCACATCATTTAAGGAACTGAAGGAGCTTTCACTGAGGATCATGCCAAATTTTGAGACATGGTGGGTCAATGAGGTACAAGGGGAAGAGTCAATATTTCCTCAGGTTAAGAAGTTGTCCATATCCGACTGCAAAAGGCTGACTGCATTGCCTAAAGCATCAATGATTAAGGAACCACGGCCGCCATGCGGAGTTATTAATACTGTGTGGCGCTCGGCATTTCCAGCGCTGAAGGAATTAAAATTGTACAGGTTGGAAACCTTTCAGAGATGGGAGGCAGTTCAAGAAACTCTAGGAGAAGACGTGACATTTCCTCGGCTTGAGAAGCTAGTAATTGAGTCGTGCCCAGAGTTGACTAGCCTCCCTGAAGCACCAAATCTAAGTGAATTGAAGATCCGAGGAGGCAGCCAACAAATGCAAGTACAGGTAGCAAACTGCATCGTCACTGCTTCGTCGTTGTCCAAACTGGACTTGTGGATCAATGACGACAGAGAAGCAGCATGGCTGGATGGCAACAGCTTGATTCAATTGGTGGATGGTGAGGAGAAACGGAATCACAATAAATCCCCTTCCCCTCTCACGTTACACGGGTGCAACGTTTTCTTCTCTCACTCTAGTGCTCTGGCGCTTTGGGCATGTTTAGTGCAGCTTGAAGATTTGCGAATTTGGGACTGCGATACTCTCGTCCACTGGCCAGAGGAAGTGTTCCAGAGCCTGGAATCCTTGAGGAAGTTAGAAATTTGTGAATGCAACAATCTAACAGGACGCAGACACGCTTCTTCTGAGCAGCCACGCCTGGAGTCTCTGGATATATAACTGTCTTGGGTATGTTTGGTAGAGGTCCCCACCAGTGTCCTACCGGCATCTCTTAAGTCATTACTTCCCTCCGTTTGTGTTTACATGTCACCAACTTTTTATTGTAACAAATTTGATCATATGTTTTCTCTTTTAAAAACATCTTAGATACTTCAATGTATATAACATTAATAAACTATGTTCAATAAAGAATCATATATACGAAAACTTATGTATTTAAAAATCTTTTATAGAAAAAAATGAATGGTCAAAATTGTTACAGTACAAATTCGGTGACAAGTAAACGAAAACGGAGGTAAGTATATTATATATTTACAAGCTATCCAAATGTTAATTTGGAATTTAGGCCGGGTTGGTCTTTGTGGCCCTCTCACGCTGAACAATCGCTCATATAAAATGTGTCTTTAATCGAAATAATATTTTCTCTCATGCAAATCGGCCAGCAGAAATAATCCTCGATCCGGCCGGCAGTGCCGAACAGGCTAAGCTCGAGGCCATCGCATTCAGTAAGCAGCTGGATACTACTAGTGCGATGTTGGCGAGTGCGCAGGGAGTCGCTGCAGCACACGACGAGGACGGCAAATCAGCATTAATTGCAGGGTCCTGCAGCGACGCCACGGCATCCAGCCCAATTCCTAAAACAACTCAACAGCTTGCTAAAGAACTTGGCATCCTAAATTTTGCCAAAAAAAATGAGCTTCAACGAGTTGGCAAAAGTAGTTGGTATTTTGGGGAACTTGGCATCCTAGGCCTTTCCACGCGCATATTTGCGCTGCTTGATCGCTTGCCATCCAAGATTCGGCGGCGCCGCTTTGCTTGTCCCAGCCTTGAACAGCGGTAGCGGCTTCGCTATCTCATGTAATGCGTGCGTCGCGAGGAGTAGTAGACGGACGCGGCGCCCTTCTTTGTCGCGAGTTGGAGGAGGCGACGGATGGGCCAGCGGATCTTGTCGCGAGAGACAAGGATCGACCTGGCAGAGGAAAGGTAGGTTCTTCCCCGATCTGCGTTTCATCCGATCTTTATTCTCGTTATTGCCGGCGAATTGCTAGGGTATTGCTAGGATCCGATCAGCTAGATGCGATGAGCTGCACTTTTTGTTATCGATCAAGCAATCGTAGATCGATCTCGCAGGTGCACGCTAGGTATATGCTAGATCGATCTTTATTTGCCCGCTTAGGTTTATGCATCTTTAACTTCATGGTAATTGCTAGATCGATCTGTGGTTCTTGATAATTGAAGGGGATGGATCTTTAGCTGCCCGTACGGATCGATCGAATTGGTGCGATGATGCCAGGTTTATTTTTGTAAACTCATTCATATGGAAGGGATGGATTTCTGGTGACATTCTTCTTAGCAGAGTTGCCAGCGAAGTTGATGGTGATCTTCTTTGGTTTCGACGACCCTCGACATTCCGATGACCCAAGAAAGCGCAGCATGGCGATGTGGAAGAAGTGCAGGCAATTTTCAATTTGCCAAACCCAAATAGCAAACTATTGGAGAAGGCCTCTTTTTCACTTGGCATTTGGTTTTGAGACTTGGCAAAACTATAGATTTGCCAAGTGATGTTTAGCAAACTGTTAGAGTTGCTCGCTGTCATCATCTACTAAACCTCACTTCCTTCCTTGTCTAGAATCTCTACGCATATTCTGCTGCGATGGCTTGTCAGAGGTTCTCTCGATCTTCCTCCTTCCATCAAGACTTTGAAATTCAATGGTGCAGCAATCTTCAAGCCCTTTCAGGACAGCTGGATGCCGTTCAAACATTAAGTATTAGGTGGCTGCAGTAGCTTGAAATCACTGGAATCTTTCTTAGGAGAAACTCGCATTGCTGGAAGAGCTCTACCCTTATGGTTGCAAAAGCCTGGTGTCATTACCTAAACGGGCCTCAAGCATACTCATCTCTGAGGCGTCTTACTATCAAGTCTTGTCCTGGTATCAAACTGCTTCCCCAGAGCCTACAGCAACAACTGGGTGATCTCAAGGACGACGAAAAAGAACTAGATGCCCATTTTTACCAAGGTAACCTTCAATTTCTCTGTCTTTTTTAATGAGTTGTAAAACAACTACTACTTGACTTAATGCATTCTATTAGTTACAATATATGTTGTGCCCCAGTGGTAAAAAAAGAAAGTTAATGGCCGCATTGCCTTTTTATTATCTTTGCTTCTGACTGCTAGATCAAATCAAATAGTTAACTCCAACTTTATTTAGTCAATATAACATGACATCTCGAGATTAGTGCTGTCAAATTGTGTGTTAGTATCGATTGTAGAAATTCCATAGAATGTATGGTTTAACGTATGCAAAGTTTGTTACAGAAAGTAAGATATTGTTGACTTCGAAGAAAGCATCATATGTACATGAGTATTATGTTGTGAAGAAAAATATGACCATTGCCTCCCTAATTGCTTGATGAGTTAGAGCTTCTGAAAAAAAATGTGTTTAAATCTGCTTTAGAACCTACAGTTTTACAGCACTATATTTATCTGTTATTTGTTTCCCTTGAAGAAAAGCACCTAAAACCTAAACGAAAGTCAAATGATCTACTCTGACTGAAACCCAATTTAAATGGCTCTTAGTCTCTAAACAAAAAATTAAAGAAAAACTGTTGTAAGTTGCATAGAGTGGACCACGGATCGAATTATGACTTATGAGAGCTAAATAAAGCTTTACCTGTTCTCTGCAAGTTCACCGCTACTTTTGCATATAGTTTTGATTATATATTTTTTTATTCTTCTTGCACCTTATTACACACAAAGATAATAATTTCATTTTCAACTAATGTTATGGTATGCCATAGTATTCTATTATTTGCATTTATAAATTCTGTTATCATCTATGACAGAGACAACGTCTTGGAAACATGCTATCAAGAGCCACTTTTGTGTGTGAAATATGGTATCAGCAGTCATGACTTCTGCTACAACAACCTGTTGCTTCCTTCCATGATGGTGGAGACTGGAGACCAGTCAAGTTCGTTCATTCATAATTTAGAACTCGTTTCTTTGAGAGATGTGATCCAATGAGAAACTAAGGTTTGCTAAACATTGCACTGTAGGTATATATCAGCTGGGTATTTGGGGGTGCTGGTAAAAAGTAAAAGGTGACAATACAGCAGCTATCAACACTAGGTGTGGTAATTAAGAAGTTTCAGTTATGATCTCAATTGGGCCCAGGAAAATCCATATGATTGTGATTCATAAATTACTTTCAGGAGTAGGTATATCATTGTCCAGCAATCCACCTTATCTTCAAGGATACTGGTACATCTAAGCTTCGCTGCAAATTATTAACGAATTGAATGTCGTTTTCCTTACTAACTAAAGCCATAAGAAGATCGGTTTGCATTGGAACAAAAACCTTCGTACAATCCAAACTTTTGCCTTTGCTTTCTTAGATAGAAGGAAGATTGTAGTGGAGTAGCCAATTGAGATATTATTTCTGTATTATAATGCTAGTGCAACTAGAAACAAGACACTTATCAGGTTTGTACTTTTTATTGGATGTCTCGAAGAGAGATCGGGTTTGTACTTAATGTCTCAAGACTACTTAGATCCTGATTTGCTTGACACATTAGTTATTTCTTACTTTCAAACAATTGAATTGAATTTGCCTTTTGGGTTATAATGTTTCCTTTCCCCATTGTTGCTGAATTGGATCTCAACTCCTGCAGGTTTGCTCTTACGATTATGGATAGTGTCACAGCCTGTACAAAACCCCCATTTAGCAAGACGGATGCATTTGTGAGATTCTTAGAACCTTCGGAAGTTAATGGATGAGGTGATTAGCTTTTTACTCTTGATCACTGATGAATTATGGAAGTACTAGTTTACACTGCATTGTATACATATTGTCTTGAATTGAAAACATTATTGTACAGCTAAATTACATAAAACTATAAAAGGTAACTGTTGATGCTGCTAGTTTATTTTGCTATGCTACATGATTAGCCGATTAGGTCTACAAATTATAGCAACAACATATCGGTTATTCATATTTGATATACTCACTGTTCCATTTTCTCTCTAGTTTGGACTGGTGGTGGTAATCACTAAACAAGGGGTGGACTCACAATAGCGGACTCGAAGTGTTCCGTCTGCTGTTTACATTCTCACCAGAGACAAGCTTTATGGAGTATGTCTGTACAACCACAATCTAGTATGGGTTTCTTCCCCTACGTGGAAATGCGCATCCTGTACCTTAGATCGTCGTATACTGTTGTTCCAGATACCATCTAAAGGTGACAATTGTGTAAACTATTGTTCCGCTTATACCATCCAAAAGGCGGCAATTGTGTAAAATTCATAGCTGTGGATTCAATGATTTGCAGCGTGATGTAGCCCTAAATTGGATAATGCATGTCAACCAAGGCTGCTACACCTTGGCAACTTAAAACTCCACCCATCCTTGTTTTGTCATCGAGACCTCCACCATCCTGAGCGAGTCATCTTGATGTAATGAACATTGTCGCTTACCCAATTCCAATCCATCGAACTCCATTCAATCCAGAAGCAACAGACAAGCTTTGGAAGCTATCAATATTTCTCCTGTTCAGCTATTGGCTTATATAAATTATATTTCCAACATGCGTACAAGTAGGTAAAGACTATAATGGATTCATATTCTGCTCAGAGACTTATTTACACTTATAAGTGTTTTATTACTGTTTGAGAGGATCCATAACTTTAATAGAGTAAGTCCTGCAAATAGGTTTATTGCTGAAAAACATCACTGGTTGTACTTAATGCTATAAAACTGCAGTAACTTCTCAGCATAATTTGTTTTGAGAAATTCGTCTAAACATCGCATCAGCACCATAAGGGCAATCATACATCATAGTCAAAACTGATAGGATGGGAAGCCTGATTCAACTGCAGTATGTTAGCATGTGCCATTGAAACAACAGCATCCGCAGCAAAGATCATAGATACAATTGGATGAGCTCATCACCTAACAACAGATGGCAGGTTAGAACACCAAGATCGGTCAGGGAGAAGTGTG